GAGACCACATGAGAACGAAAGAGACCACATGAGAACGAAAGAGACCACATGAGACCACATGAAACCACGACAGACCACATGAGACCACAAGAGACCACATGAAACCACAAGAGACCACATGAAACCACATGAAACCACAAGGGACTGCAAGAGACCACATGAGACCACATGAAACCACATGGTCTAAAGACTCAGAACCACCAGGAAAACCTCCTCCCACAGATGAAAGGAGACAGAGCGTGTTGGTCACAGTAAAGTCCTCTATGAAGCTCTGAGTTTCTCCGTCAGACATTTCATTTCACATTAGATCACTGAGCTCCTCCACTTCTCTTCTTCTGATGTTCTTATGTGTTGATGTGTTGACATTAGAACAACAAGGTTCTCTGTATTTAAAAGTTATATTTTACTGATTGTTGTTGTTTATTTCTTATTTTTTCTGAAGCACGTTGAGCTGCATGTTTGTATGAAAGGTGCTGTTTATTTCAATAGTTACCTCTGGACAGAGCCAGGCTAGCTGGTTCTGATCTTTATGCTAAGCTAAGCTAAGGAGAATCTTATGTTCCGGTATTTATATTATAAATGTTTCTTAATAACACTGTTTGCATGAACCTGACGAGACAGTTAAAGACATTTAAAGTTGATCCATCACCTTGAGCCCAGTTCAGGGTGAGCGGGTGTCGGAGGACGACGGAGCTCCGGGCAACGCAGGAGGCCAAGCGGAGCTCTGAGGAGGAGGTGATCACCAGGAAGGGCAGCAGCCTCCAGCCCGTCTTCTGCAGCAGCTCCGTGTCCCCTTTTCCCAGCCGGGGGTCGGACAGTAAACGCACCGCCTCCGTCAGAACCGGCAGCCTGCAGGAGACGACACGGAGTTCAGAGTTACTGACGACACCAGAAGGCATCGTTTACAGGACAGTCAGCAATAACGGATATGATGATGTCATTATGACGTGACATTATTTAGTTAGATTACATTCATGTTATGGATGTGTGTGTAGTTCACTGACCAGCGCTGAGCCACCGACAGATCGCCTCTGTGCAGCAGAGACAGTAAAGACGACACGGTGTCCTCGGGGTCCAACACGTCCAACAGCACCTGAACACAACAACCATCAGCTGATCCTATAAAACAACACTGTGCTGTTTGACCGATAGGGAGCGCCGCTGAAGCCTTCACTCATCCACCACACCTGTCCCCCACCGTCACACACCTGTCCCCCACCCTCACACACCTGTCCCCCACCGTCACACCTGTCCCCCACCGTCACACTGACCTCTAGGACTTTGAGAGCGGCGGACACGACCTCCGGCACGTCGTCCTTCAGTCGGTCCATGACGGCGTCTTTCAGGAAGACTTCGTCCAAACTCTGCTGCTGAGGAGAAACATGAGATGCATTTGTGGTTATTTATACCTGCAGTGTGTATTTACACCTGCAGTGTGTATTTATACCTACAGTGTGTGTTTACACCTGCAGTGTGCATTTATACCTACAGTGTGTATTTATACCTACAGTGTGTATTTATACCTGCAGTGTGTATCTTTATTATACTGTACATGATGTTTTTAATAATCAGAAAACAACGGGGCCCAGTTTGGAGCCTTGAGGAACACCAGAAGTGTGTTTGTAGACGAGGACATTATTCTGAAGTAGTTCCACAGAAGAATGAATATCTAAGAAGTAGCAGAGAGAACCAGTCCGTCTCCAGTGATTCTGACTTCACCTGCACTGTCTGCCGTACCTGTGCGGAGGTGATGACGTCCATCAGGTGATCCACCGCCGTCACTCTGACTGAAGGCTGCGGGTGTTTCAGACTGAGGAGCAGCGACGTGTCAGAGTCGCCCATTATCTAAACACAGGAAGGATTCATTAAGAACATGAACATCATAAGTTAGCAGACAAATACTTCTTAAGTACCAACAACACAATACTGTGTGTACCTGGTACTTCCCGCTGCTCATGGACAAAGAGAGGAACTGGTGGTAGAGATGTTTCTGCTCGCTGCTGCTGAGGTCGGTAACGTGAGCTGCGAGGACGCCGTCCAGAGCTGCACAGTATCTGAGGGAGGACAAACACAGAGCTAACGCTAACACAGAGCTAACGCTAACACAGAGCTAACGCTAATTCAGAGCTAATGCTAACTCAGAGCTAATGCTAACACAGAGCTAATGCTAACTCAGAGCCAATGCTAACACAGAGCCAATGCTAACACAGAGCCAATGCTAACACAGTGTTCCTCAAGATGGACTGATGTATTTTATATTTAAATAAGTAAATAGAAATGATGTCCAGCTGGGACTGATAGCAACAGACCAAACTATTAGTTTATAATAACAACGTTCTCTTAATCTGGTTAAAGATTAAACGGTAAAACACTAATAAATGAAGACCACCAGGTACAGCAGCAGGCGGACTCACCTGGACTCGAACAGGCGAACCAGAGGAAGGAGCCGGCGGTCGAGGGCCGACATGTCCTCAGCAGAGTGTTCAGTCTGACTCAGATACTCGTCCAGCATCAACCTGCAACACAAACACCTGAGATGAAGACTTCCTGTTTGTTGTGGTTTTACTGAACAGCAGCGACGTGAAGAAGAACAGACGGAGGAAAAGAAAACCGTATTATTATAATTGTTTCTATGATCCTCACTGTCAACCCTCTGAACACTAAAGTAGGTTCAGGTTTCGCTCCCGTCACATTTTTCTCTCTGTGGTCCTGATTTTCAAAATAAAAGTCTTGCTCCTCTAAGGAAACAGAATCTTCATGACTAGAAGTAGAGAGAACTAGAACACGTCTTTAGTGCAGAATAACACAGTTATGATGACATCAATCATTCTTATAGTCAATTATCATCTTATAGTTCTATATATTAAACTATTCACATGTTCCAGCCTCTCCTCTCCTCCCAACAACTCCCCACTGGATGAACAGACTTCTATCTTATCTTGAGCGAAGGTGAAGGTGTGTTTACCGAGCCACGGTTCGGTCCAGGCCGCCGGTCAGAGGGACGGACTGCAGGACGGATTCCAACACGGCGAGCTGGTCCGTCTGCGTCTCACCTGAGCCGCAGGTGAACCCGGCGTGGACCAGGTGAGGCAGCAGGTAGCGCAGCAGAGGGCCGACGTCGTGAGAAGCCGCCATGACCTGCAGCGTGGAGACCAGCGCCGGCATGGAGCTCAGACGCTCGAAGGCTCTGAGGGACAAAACAGAAGACGATGATTAACTGAGACGAGGCCACGCCCTCAGACCAGGTGCGACGCTGATTCCCGGTCCTACCTGGGCCCGGCAGAGCCCTCCTTCTGGTTCTGCAGCAGCACCACGAGGCAGCCCAGACCCTCCTTGGCCAACACGGGCTCCCTGAGCAGAGACTTGCTGACGTGGGCGGCGAGCGTGTCGACCAGACTCGCCTCCATCACCACCTTCACCGCCAGCTGGCACACGATCATGAGGGTGGCGGCTTTGTAGTCCGTCAGAGACGACTTCAGACCCTGAAGGGATGAGGAGGACTCTGATACCAGAACTTCATATGTGAAACGTTTCAGAAAGAAGAAGAAGAAGAAACGTCGTTACATTCCGTTACCTTCTGAACGAACGGCAGCAGTTTGGAAATGATGGCGTCGGACACTTTGTCCACAGCGTCCAGAGCCGGGACGATGGAGGAGGCGTAGAAGGAGAAGATCACTCTGAGCTGGGAGCAACTTCCAGAGTGACCCGAATACGCCTGAAGAAGGAGGAGGAGAAGAACAAGAAGATGGAGGAGAAGAAGAAGGAGGAGGAGAAGAACAAGAAGATGGAGGAGAAGAAGGAGGAGAAGAACAAGAAGGAGGAGAAGAACTAGGAGAAGGAGGATGAGAAGAACAAGAAGAAGGAGGAGGAGAACAAGAAGATGGAGGAGAAGAAGGGGGAGAAGAACAAGAAGGAGGAGGAGGAGGAGAACAAGAAGGAGGAGGAGGAGAAGAACAAAAAGATGGAGGAGAAGAAGGAGAAGAACAAAAAGATGGAGGAGAAGAACAAGAAGGTGGAGGAGAACAAGAAGGAGGAGGAGAACAAGAAGATGAAGGAGGAGAAGAACAAGAAGATGAAGGAGAACAACGAGGAGGAGGATGAGAACGAGGAGAAGGAGGAGAACAAGAAGATGAAGGAAGAGGATGAGAACAAGAAGATGGAGGATGAGGAGAACAAGGAGGAGAAGAAGGATAACAAGGAGGAGGAGGAG